AAATATAAGAGCATTTAGATCATCAAAGTACTGATCTCACACTTCTTATATTTCCTTACAGAGAAAGTAACTAAGCTTCACACAAATACAAGCGGACCACGACTACTTATCTGCTGTCAGGGGCGCGCCTATGTTGGCCCAGCAGGTAGCCCATGACACCGGGTAAAAACCTATCTTACCTTATACATATAGAGCGCACAAAGGCCTGGACACCCCTAAATTTTTTAATGGGACACCCCGTACAGACAAAAGGGCCATAACTAGCCAGCTAGGCCCAGCTGAGTAGCAGCACGCCCTGGTGAAGGCCCATGTCCAGGCAGTACATCTATACGTTGCGTGTCGCCTTGCCTGTTCTTCTACTCGCCGCTCGGCCGCTGCGCGTTTCGCGGCCTCTGGACTCGTCGTCCTCGACCCCTCGCCTGTTCATCTACTTCGCCAGATGCCCCCAATTCGCTCAATCAGTGAAGGTATGTTGCATTAGACCCCAATTCGCAGCGTGTGTCTGCCTCTATTTCAATTCCCAAATTATGCTCTAATTCTTACTTTATTTGTCTAACCCTAGGATATTAGGGCTACTGGATAAGACTACACATTTTGACTGTATTAGCTATTAGACTATTTGGCTATTGTATTGATCAGTGGCTTTAGGGGCATGATGTTGTAATTGTTCGCTTTGAGGCCATGAAAGAATGCAGGAAACCATTTTAGAAAGGTAATGATTTTAACTTACTTATTACAAACTGTAATTAATATATGCTAAGTGATTTTTTTATTGGCAATCATGATCTAGTGTTGCTTTTTCTCGTCAGCGGTTATAATTCATTCATAATTTGAAAACTTTGGTTCTCATTTGCTGTTCAGTTTCTAGCAATCAACTAATATTTCAAGCGAACTTTTTATTTTGGACCTTTTGCAATCATATTCATCGTCATATGGTATTCTAAGTATATTGTATTGTTATAAGTGTGTTACTTTTATCTACATTATGACTTGATATCCACATATATGTAATAGACATGGGACCCCGGGTCATTTTTGTCCTGCCCCTGTCTGCTGTCGATGTTCACTGGCTTCAACTGGCACCCGCCAAGCTGTGGGCATCCTGCACGTGTGACTGACTGCCTCAGCCATTCACTGTTGATGCATGTACCGTTTCCGGAACAGGAGATCGTGGAATTCAGCCCGGATAATTCACACACCTTCGATCGGCCCAGCTAACAAGACCAATGGAACTTTGGTGGCAATGACGTATCATATGCCCCTTCTTAAACAACCACGGATGCAATAATACACTAGTACATCTTCCAATTTTCTTCTTTTGTACCTCGAAGCAGCATCATACAAATTATCATTAACATTATATATTCGTTCACAAATTAGCCGCCGGCCGGAGTGGGCCCTTTTCACTATTTTAACCCTTTCAGAAAACTTTCGCACAAAATGAACTTCATACAAAATTATTTCATGATCTGACCTTTTTGGTAACACCATAGACAATGACATTTTTTTTTATTTAGAAACGCCAAGCTAGATAGTGTTGCTCCACTTCATAAATAAATGGCAATATGGACAAGCTAGTTGAAACGCCAAACCTCTTGGCGTTTCATGCTTGAGCAGCAACGCCAAGCATCCTTGGCGTTTCTAGCAACGCTGCATATTTTGACGTTTCTGTCCTGGCACGTAGCGTCTCGACCGGGCCAGCAACGCTAGCTAGCTCGGCGTTTTCAAATAGAGAAAAAACGCCACGACTTATGGCGTTATTAAAAAGGTCAGATCGTGAAATAGTTTTGTGTGGAGTTTATTTTGTGCGAAAGTTTTTTGAAAGGGTCCAAATAGTGAAAAGAGCCGCCGGAGTGATCCTTTTCAGGTTGATTTTAGCCTTTCGGGCCACTGCCTCATGCATGCATGTAGGCAGACGCCCGCCCCTAGCCTCCTTTCAGGGGGCGGGAATAACTGATTCAGCATACCTTAACCATGTGAATACTCCATCGTTTTCCTTTTTCCAAAGGCAATTTGTCATGAGCATTTTTCTTCTGGAAAGTTTATTGGGGATAATTGATCGTTTCCCTTTGGGAGAAGCTACCCCACCAAACATTCCATGTTTTTTGCGAATACCAAACATCCCATCCAGAACGCAGCAACGTTGTTAATGAGAAACAACACCATCACATGAACGATCGAGACGCCGGACGACGCAGTCAGTGGCGGTGCTAGCTTGACTGCTCCTGCTCGCCCGTCGATCTCAAACGAATCCACGACCGTTGAACCTACGGCTGCGCGCGACCGCCCGCCATCAAAAGCTGCTGGCTGCGACTTGGCGGGACGAGCAAGAGCCGGCGGCCGGCGTCACCAACCCCGTTCAGCGATCTGATTCCAATCGCTACACGTAAAGCCCCGACTGGATTCTTCCGTCGCCGTCGGCAGAAGGTCATTTTCGTTCTACCCAACACGTAAAGGATCCGTCCTAGGAGCAGCATCTCATTCTCATGGGCTGAATGAATCACACGCATGTATGGTCAGAGAAGAAAAAAGTCAAGGACAGATGGTCTCTGGTTGCCCCAAACTTGGACCGATCGACGTTCACCGTAGTCGCCGGCGGCGTCGGCTAGGAGCAGGACGGGTGCACCTGTCGTCCGTAATTATTAGCTCGACACGTAGTGAATTTTTTTCGACAGGATAGCAGGCAGATTTGTCTGGAAGTTAACCAAGTTCACCACTAACTTTGTGGTTCCTGCACGTCGTCATCATGTTTTCTTTTGCCGCTGGTACATGCGACAATTCTACAACGAATTGTGATGCTAAGTCTGAATTAAACCAACCCATATTTTAGATTTAATATGCTGCCTAGTGCCTACTCGATCTGTCATGCTGAAAAGCAAAGAAAGAGAAACCGACAGATAATCAATGGGTAAACAAGTTAGTGCCACTTATACCTAGCAGCTCTACATAAACTTGTTATGTGTTCGATTAGCCTTGTTCCCAGGATCAGCTTCTCTGAATTTTTGTGTGGCCATCTAGCAGCTCGCACTTGTCAGGTGGCAGCGGTATGTTATGCTTGCCAGCATTGGCGGATCTTGGGCTGAATTCTAGGGGAGCCAATGGGCTGGGGGGTAAACAATTTGTGTTTTGGGCTGATTTTGCTTGCGGTATGGGCTGGGGCAATGGCTCAGATCGGACGAAATCACTAATTGAGAAGTACTCATTGTAAAGATCACTCCTATCCCAGATTGCAACAAGTGGCGCACTGTATGTGCGCCACGTGTCGCAACCTGAGAGTTTTTCCTTTTTTCGTATATCCGTTTATTCAAAACGCTTTATCTCTTAAACCGTGTATTCAAATCTCGAACCGTTTTCGCCGTTGGATTCCTCGCATTGAAATCTTCAAAACTAGATCCCATGTTGATAGATTTGGCGAACTTCTTTTTCATGAAAATAACAAACGAAAAAACCGAACCGGGAGTACGGTTTTTTCCCTTTCCGAAAGAGGCACTCCTATGCGTCTCGCGAAATCACTATCATGCCTCTCGTGGAAGCAAAACCATGTCTCTCGTGAAAGAAAAAAAAACGTGTTTTTCCCGTTTTCGAGAGGCACGGCCGTGACTCTCGGGAAAGCACAACCGTGCCTCTCGCGGAAGGAAAAAAACAGAAAATACGTTTTTTTTTTCGTTTTTGAGAGCGATCGTGACTCTCGCGAAAGCACAACCGTGCCTCTCGCGGAAGCAAAATCGTGCCACTCGTGAAAGAAAAAAAATAAAAAACACATTTTTCTCCGTTTTCGAAAGGCACGGCAGTGCCTCTCACGAAAGCAGAACCGTGCCTCTCGCGGAAGCAAAACCGTGCCTCTCACGGAAGGGAAAAACATGTTTTTTTTCGTTTCTAAGAGGCACGGCCGTGACTCTGGCGAAAGCAAAACCGTGACTCTCGTGAAAGAAAAAAACGCGTTTTTCACGCAAAAAATATAAAAAAAAATTGATCCAAAAACTAAGGAAGATCAGTGTAAAACCGAAATGTCGAAAAAAAACCGTTTTAAAAGCCGGAAACGCCTGTGAAAAAAAAATAAAAAAACGAAATTCGAAGGAAGCGCTCAGAACGCGACACGTGACGCTGGTCGTTGTGAGGCTCCCGAAGAAGCGCTCGTCAACTAGTTGCTCTCCAGATCGGGCCCTAAGAAGCTCAGCCACTACTTGCCACCTGGGAGCGGACATCGTGTGGCCAGGCATAAATTGCTCTGTTTTTGCAACCAGTAGCACACCAAGGTCGTCAGCTAATTGCATGATGTCTTTCTTTTCATTAGTACCAAGTTCGCATGCTCTCACTACATACAAATCTTCAGCGCAGAGGTATGGATATTGAGTTCAATTGGAAGCAACTATAGGCGCTACCACTGCCACGCAAGGTGTTGCATTTCATATGGCGGATCACCACCTACAGTTTGCCTCTACGTACAAAGCTTCATCGTAGAGGTATGGATATTGACACCAGTTATACTCTGTGCTTTAGATATGATGAAGATGGCGGTCATTGTTTTTTAAATGCAAAAAGGTAAAAGGCATATGGAGGCATGCTCTGTTAGAACACATTAGGCTTCGGCTACTTGAATGCCCAGATTCCTTTAAATTCATGGAAGAAATTCTTGAGCTTAATGAAAAAGAAAAATTGAAAACATGCATTCTCCTCTGGATGTGGTGGCATCGGAGAAATAAAGCTAATGTGGGAGATAGAGTCAAGTCAAACGATGAAATGTGTTTCTGAATTAACCACTGTCTTGCCAATGTTCTGAACAATGTGCAGCCAAGCAAACACACAAGACAGAACATGACCCAAAGATGGACTCCTCCTCCAGTGGGAATTATGAAGATTAACACTGATGACGCTTTTCATGAGAAGACTCATTCTGGAGGTTGGGGTTCACACTAAGAAATGATATAGGTGCAGTAGCAGCGGCTGAAGCAGGGAACCTGGAACATGTATCAGACACCCTTCATACTGAAGCTTTGGCGATGCTCCATGCTGCTAATGTGGCAATCAGGATAGGATGTGATCGGCTAATTTTAGAAACCGACTCTCTTTTGTTGAAGCAGGCTTTAACATCAAATATTTATGATCTATCACATTTAGGTGCTATTTTCAGAGATATCAAATGTCAACATAGAGTTGGTTTATCTCATGTATCTGTCAAACACTGCAGCAGGAAATGTAACCATGTTGCATACACTTTAGCTGCACATAGCACAACTATGAGTAGAAGTACATGGGAAATTTGGCTTGACCAATTTCCACCATTTGTATCAGACTGTGTAGCTGGAGATTTTTCCAGCACTGCTATATAAGGGAATGCAGAATGTTCCTTTCAAAAAAAAAAGTTCGCATGCTCCCATTCTAAGGAAAGCTGCATGTCACGAGGTTTGGAAACGAGGAAAATGATCAATCAGGGAAACAAGGATACAATACGAAAGATAGGAAAATCACCTGCATTTCCAGGAACGATTGTTTTGCTCATATCATCCTTAGGCCCCACATCGAATGGGCATATGTATTTTGTTTTACATGTGTAAATTATGGGTCATAGCTGATTTTTCACCTAGAAAAACAAAATAACTGATCCGGGCGTGTATTCTAAACCAGCCGGTGGGCGGAGATCCTTGTAAGGCGTGTATTTAGGATGTGTAACCCACCTTAATCAATGAGAACCTAATGTCACGGAATGCGCAGTGGGCGAAGATCCTTAAACATCTACAACCATATATGACAAATATGACCCTTCAAACGCCCACCAGCCTATAACCTTTTTTCAAGATACATCGCGTCGTTCAAAAAGGCTATAGGCGATGGGCAGAATTCCTAGTGTTGGCTATATCAGACACAACAATCACAATTAGGCTAGCTAGATCGTGGGAAGTGGGATATTTATCCACCCAACACCGTGTCCATCATCAAATTGCTACCACCAATAACACCCAAAATATCATGGAAAATACTAAACTGAATTGTATACCTGAGATTTACCCTCTTGGCGCTAGATCGACTCGGCGCCGAAGAAGGAGCCAACGGAGATGGATTTTCACCAAGTTGAGGTGTAGTACAATCACGCAGAACGTTTTCCTCCTTCCTTCTTCCACGAGCAACTCCCACGTGAGGCTTTTCCCGCCTCCGTCAACGCCGTCAACGCTGTTGCCGATCTCCCCCATTTTCTATGACCTTAGGGCCATGGTGGCATGATGGATCTCGACTATTCTTGGCGGGAAGGCTCCTTCTTGTTTTTAGGTGTTTTTCTAAGTTTGTTAGGGTTTCTGTTCTGCTCAGAAAAATGAGACGGCAGTGGCTCCCTATAGATGGAATAAAGTTCTCCTTGCTTAGAACCCGTCCGGATGATGCATCTAGCATCATCGAAGGGCATGTGAAGATGTACCTCCAGCAGATATTGCGGGATTTAATTGGTGATTATCTTCGATGGATCTGCTTTGCTACGATCTTTGTTCGTCTGCGTTTATGTGTGTGCAAATTGGATCCTTGCGATTTAAATTTCTCTTCATCGGCAATAGTTGTTATTCTGGTGTAGTAGTCCTTTAGTGCATCTTCAACGCCGACCCACAAATATCCTCTTGCATCCGTCCACGGACACGAATGCGGGAGACGGCCATCCAACGCTGCCCGCATACATCCGGCTTCCCTAATATATTTTTAAAGTTCACATGTTCAAATAGCCGCATATATAGAGTACAAACGTTCAAGTAGCCACATACATAGAGTATAGACGTTCAAATAGCCGCATGCAGCAGTAGTTCAAATTTGAAAAAGTTCAAATATTACATTCCGACGACGTCTTTCTTTAAGATGAAGTAGTCATCATAAGACGCCATGGTACAAATGATTGAATACAATCTTGTGCATCCGAAAACACCGACAAAAATAGTCAGTGAAGAGCGCACCAGGGGCAAAGTAGTCGTCCATCAATGTCAAATGGCCGCGCGCCCTGTTGCTGTGGAGCACTCACTGACCCTTGATCGTTCCCTTGAAATTAAGAATATGCTCCTCCACACGCTCTGCGTCTTCAATAACCGCCTGCATCATCATCGACTCATCCGTGCAGTCCTCCTTGTCGGAGGAGCCGTTGGACGACTCAACATAGTACTCGTGTATGTACTCCAAATCGGAACCCATTGCTTGAAAGAAGAAGGGACACCTTTTTTAGCTCCAACAATTCAATGAACAGTTGTTGGGCATGGTGAGTATAGCAGTAGCGGATGGTACCTGTCAGAGCGGTTGAAGGAGAGGGGTTAAACAGTGATGGAGGAGATGCGGGATGGAGCCCGACTGGAACACTGAAGGTGAAGGAGATGTAGAGTTTTGGCAGGGGTGGCGTGGCGGCCGGGGTGGTGGAGCGGGGGCGAAGGCAAGAGAGAAAGAAGGAAGGAGAGAAAAATGGGGAGGATGGAGGCGCGGGGTCCAAGAAGGATTTTGGATGGGCTGAGGCGGTCAGAATCGGACGTGGCTGCTATCTAGACTCCCGCGAAGCCCTTTCTCCCTTCCCCCACGTTTGTTTGTCTTGGGTTTCCCAAAAAAGTATGTCTGGACCTCTTGGCGAACCGATACAGACTCGCGTTGGATGGCAAACCGTGTTCAGACCGCGCGGTCCGGACAGTTTCGGGCCGTTTAAGGGTCCGCATTGGAGATGCCCTTGGGGCTTTAACATGATGACTTTTCGCCTGTCTACTACAATAAAGTTTGCCCTGCTCTGGTGAAGAAGATGATGACTGTGGCGTGTCTTCGACTTGCTGCAGTGCTTGTACTCATCGGTAGGTGGTATACGTACATAAATGTATTTTTTATTTTCCTTTATGGAAATAGTGTTTGATGAATAGATTGGAAGCTTTCCTCGTTTTTTTTTAAATGATGGAAACCAGGCCATGCAAAGTAAGAGGTCCAGGGCCCAACACGTCCCATCCCTACGTACCAGGCCCAAACTTCGGCTTGCCGGCCCAAAATGGACAGAGCCCGGCAACACGTGCCGCGAACATGTCCTAGAAGCCCTTTTGAAATTGCAGCCGAATAAAGAACAGCATGCGCAGCTTCCCATTTTGTTTGACCGGACCCGACACAGAGTCCCGGATCTAGCAAAGCAACGAAGAAGGGTCCTCGAACCAGCCGCAGCAAGCGACGAAGTGTTCAGAGTCGTTGGCGCTGTGCCGCACACCACACCGCACCGTTTCAGAGACAACGGGGGACGAGGGACGGGATGCCGCGCGCTCCCCCAGCTAGTGCGCCAGCCTACCTACCGTCGGAGCTCTCTGACCGCGCACCACCTAACCTAACCCGGCCACTTCTTCTAGGTTCGTCCTTCGCCACCAAGCCGCCGGCAGAGGCCCCAGAGCGCTATATAAGACGCCGAGCCCGTCGCAACCAAACCAACAAGCCACACACGCCAAGAAGCATTCCCCGAGCCAGCGATCTTCTCGCCGCAGTCCACACAGCTGCTCGTGCACGTGCCACGCCCCGAGAAACCGTAACTTACCTCGCAGAGCTAGGCTCTCATTGTTTAAGTGAGATATTCACAGTCGCATCCGTCGTCGACATGGTTGGGAGCAGCCCGATGCAGGCGGTGCTGGTGGCGCCGGGGGTGAAGGACAAGAAGGTGCTGGCGTTCCGGCGGGACGCGCTCAAGGAGAAGGACGCCGTCGCCGCGCTCATGCGCACCATCGCCGCCGGCGGCGTGCGGAGCGCCTTCTACGTCTTCGACCTCGCCCGGGTCGTCGACCTGTACCGCGGCTGGCGCCGCGCGCTCCCCGGCGTGCGCGCCTGCTACGCCGTCAAGTGCAACCCGGAGCCGGCGCTGCTCGGCGCGCTGGCCGCGCTCGGGGCGGGCTTCGACTGCGCCAGCCGCAGGGAGATCGAGGCCGTGCTCGCGCTCGGCGTGCAGCCCGGCAGCATCGTGTACGCCAACCCGTGCAAGCCCGAGGCGCACCTCGAGTACGCCGCCGAGGTGGGCGTCAGCCTCGCCACCTACGACTCCGAGGAGGAGGTGGTCAAGGTGAAGCGCTGCCACCCCGGCTGTGAGCTCATCCTCCGCATCAAGGGCCCCGACGGCGGCGGGGCCCGGGTGGACCTCGGGACCAAGTACGGCGCGCACGAGGACGAGGTCATGCCGCTCCTCCGCGCCGCCCAGCGCGAGGGGCTCAACGTGGCCGGCGTGTCGTTCCACGTCGGGAGCGGCGCGTCCAACACGGACGTGTACCGGGGCGCCATCGAGGCCGCGCGCGGGGTCTTCGACGCGGCAGCCGGGCTCGGCATGCCGCCCATGCGCGTGCTCGATATCGGCGGCGGGTTCATGGCCGGCCCGGCGTTCGACGAGGCGGCCGCGGTCATCAACGCGGCGCTCGAGCGCTACTTCGGGGAGCTTCCGTGCGTGGAGGTGATAGGCGAGCCGGGGAGGTACTTCGCCGAGACCGCCTTCACGATGGCGGCGCGGGTCATCGGGAAGCGCACTCGCGGTGAGGTACGCGAGTACTGGATCGACGACGGCCTCTACGGCACCCTCAGCTGCATCCCCATGGACCACTACGTGCCGCACCCGAGGCCGCTCGCCGTGCCGCGCGCCGGCGAGAAGACGTACACGTCGACGGTGTTCGGGCCGACGTGCGACTCCCTCGACACGGTGGTGACCGGGTACCAGCTGCCAGAGATGAGCGTGGGGGACTGGCTCGTGTTCGACGACATGGGCGCCTACACCACCGCCTCCGGCTCCAACTTCAACGGCTTCTCCACCTCGGACATCAAGACCTACTTGGCCTACTCCAGCTGATATGGAACTAGTCATGTGGCCACGTACTACGTAGCACACGCCATTCGATTTGTTTTCGCAGTACACAAAATGAAGAGCTGTAATTAAGCTCGTACACAATGTATGTGCTTTTGTTTGTTCTATTTTTCTAATTTTAATTAGGCATATACATATATGTATCCAATGTGGATCGTTATTCTTTTGTTTCCTAAAACGAAACTTTCTTATCAACAACTTTTTTTTCAAGAAATTTCCAATCTATTCATCTTCAATCATAGTAGTACAAAGAACAACAGGAGTAATAAAAATTACAACCATGTCCGTGGATCACTGGACTGAACCGAAGGCTCGCCGCCGCCATCGCCCCTCCCTCACCGGAGCCGGGCAAACCTTGTTGTAGTATAGGGAAGTCGTCATGCTAAGACCTCATAGGACGAACACACCAGAGTAACAACTATCGCCTCGTACTCCCTTACATCTAGATACATCCATTTCCGCGACAAGTAATTCCGAACGGAGGGAGTAGATCAGAAGGATCAAACCTGTAAACAT